AAATGAAAGAACGTCCTGCTCGTCATTTGGGAAGTCTTGCTCGTATCACTTGGGTACAAATGCTGCAAAGTCTGATGCAAAGTACTCCCATCGTGAGACCAAAGATTACCTAAATTTGGATGCTATTTCTGTTCTGTTGAGATGGGGTTTCTTGCCATTAGTGTAATCGTTTTCGGCTAATGCGCTCAGCTCCGAGAAGCTCATGGAATTTGGCTTCGTGTAACGAAATTAGCCCCGACCGAGGGTCGCATATCGAATGGAATCCGGGCGGCCCGACGAAAAAGGCGAAAAGAAAAACGTGTACAACCAAAAGACCTGAGTAAGACTACTATGGGGCTGTTATGGTTCACGAAAGCTTACAGCTGTGCCGTTCTATGAGGATGAATGCATCTGCATAAGGCATGTAAAAGTGATTCATGGTGAGGAAAGGCCTTGTTAGGACAGCTAGTCAAAGGCCTGGGTCTTAGCAGGGTGCGTTTTGCTGGTAGGGCAAATTTCGGCAAGGTACGATCCCCTCGAATGTTCTTCATCTGGTACGAAACCTCTTCCCCATTCTCCCTACCATCTTCCTGAACTTTCCCAACTTGCAATTTCTCGGAGTTTTTCCCCAGAACCACCTTCAGCCCCCTTCCACCCGAAAAACTACCTTCAAGTCAAGGTGACGGAAGGGGAGAGGGTGCCTAGAGCAGGTATGAAAGAAGAAAAGCTATGAAAAGTAACATCCGTAAACTTTTTCCTCGAAGGCAACTTAACTCCTCCCTCCACCGACCGACGTCTTTTGCGTGTTAGAGGTTAGGTGTGTGATCCTTGAAGAACCCTTTCCCTTGTGCGCCCGATATAGCTCTATCAAGATTTTTACCCGTCTCGCACTGGAGCACTTTCTGATCCCAATAGTCAACCGAGCAAGTGCTTGAGGATACCTGATCTGGCGCTACTTCATATCAGTCTACTCCCGATCCAATATATGTTTGGGTTGATTTTGCATGTGCTTGGCTTTTTATATAACCTTGGGTTGAACCCGCTCCAAAATGGAAGGTTCAACACATTTTGTCACACGTTCACCTTGGTCGTATTGGATCTCAGCCTGCCACATTCCTCCTCATGTCACCTTCACTGATGCTTCCCTCTTCCCCTTCCCTCCTCCTACACCTCTTGTGAAAGCACATAGACGCGGGTGACAACTTGGTCGACTCGGTTCTGGTTATACGTTATGTGTAGCATGCGCCTCCAGATGTTAAGGTTCTGAAGAAAAATAGGGGAAAATTCATTCGTGCCTAGACATTCATATTTTCAGGTATCTGTCAGCGTCACGCAAGTGGGTACCGGAAGGGATCGATGCATGTTCGAGCTATCTACACCTGGTCGCCTGGGGTACTGCGGCGCTAATGACGATCGTCGTTCTTGTCATGCAAAGGGTAAGCTCGTTTTGATTCTGAATAAAACCTGACTTTCTTTAATATCAGTTGGCAGCAGTCGAGCAAATTGACTGCTCATCGCGCGCGCCTATGCGAAACCGGTGGTAATGTACGCCTCTGGTTATGGGTGGGTCACCATTCAATCTGGAAAAGCGGTCTTTTTTTCACATTGGCGCGGCGTGTTGCCCGGCCAACCGCGGGCCTTCCAGAGTGGAAGTTTTAACGAAGGGGGGGGGGAAGGGGTATTTGCACTTCCGTTACTTCCAATTGTTGCGATCCTAGTTTTGAAAGGTTGTCAGATATTCTGGCAAAAGCTGACACATAGTCTCTACGAACCTTTACTGCTATCTCTTTACGACTTTACACGAAATTACAGATCTCTCCTTGACAGCTCGGAAGGTAGGGAAAATGCAATGCCCCACCCCTCCGCTCCCCTTCCCCTCCCGCCGAACCAAACTGTGCCAAAATAACTAAGGAAGAAGTACCATCCACCTGCTATTGTTAGCTGCCCGGTGCAGTTCATATTGAGGGCTGACTTAAGACCATTGTGCGTCCTTCATTGGAGCGCTCCTCTCGTCACCGTATTAGAAAAAGCGCGCACCAATGGGGTCGCACAATGCGGTGTCTTCCCCTATGCCTCCCTTTGCGATAGAGAAAGGTGCTCCCCTCACCCTCATAATTTGAAGTAGAGGCAAATTCGTCACTGAGTCAGTTTGTCACAAAATTGACTGGTTGGGCCACCACAATATAACATCCTCATCATTGCAGACCGGTGGGGCGGGTGAGCCGCGCTGCGTGTGACGCGACTGTGACTGCGGCTCATGACAGTCGCGTCACAGTCCGCGTCACACGCAGCGCGGCTCACCCGCCCCACCGGTCTGCAACTGTAAGGACTGTAATCATATCCTTGTTTAGGTGGACGCATCGGAACTGTCTGGAATCTGTTCTGTGGGTAATACGGATCCAAATTCGCTCTTGTTCTTTTCTTTGGTGCCTCGTTCGGTGCTCGTGTTCTTTGGCACGTGTTTCGTCATCGCCGGTTTCGCCAGCATGTGCCGTGAACGTGACAGTTTCAGAAGACGAGTACGTCATTACTTTTTTCGGCGCCATAGCTTTTTCCAAGGAATCTATCGATGGAACAGATGTTACTGTGCAGTTCTGATAAACTTAATTCAGGGAACGGATACGTCAAAGCTCGACAAGCTGATGTTCAAGATGGGCCTATTCTGCCTGCTCTACATCTTTCCGGCGGTAACACAGATCCTCTGTGATATCTATGCTTTCAACACCGTAAAGAGATGGTATCCGACTACAATCGCATGCAAGAGAAGTGGCGGCGTTGAGAGTGGTCACTGCCATCGCCAACATCTACCACAGGTGAGCCAACAAAGTATCAAGTGAAAGGGTGTTCCGAAGCTACAGTAGTCAAGTACTACAGTAGGCGGAAGCAATGTAACGTTAAACTTGTCCTGTGCGGAAATTGCGAAGCCGGAGAAAAATTGCATGAATATCCCGAGCTCTGAAAAATTGTTTTTTCCGGACATGAAGACATGTAACGCCAAAGCAATATGAATGCGCTCTATTTCAGGCAGAGATCTATCATCTGAACCTGATGATGTCGCTGGCTGTGGGAGCGTCTTGTGCGATGTGGGTACTGTCTCCGAAAACCCTGCTGTCGTGGCATCGTGTGCTGTGCTGCGGAATGTGCCGTTCTGCTCCACAGAAACCGACAACCACTAGCACAACGGGTGCAACACGTCCACTTCTGGAGCCGCCAACAGCACCACCACCACATCCACCGTCACACTACGTGCCGATGTCGTCACATGGTCAGAATGCTTGGCGACCATCCAAAGTCGTCTAATTCATCGATATTGCTCCTAGTCGCCGCTGATCTTATCCCGTCTACCATGACTCTCGCTCGCTTTATTAGTCCCACCCTGAACATGTGAAATGGAATACTTTTTTTGTTTTCTTTCGACCTCTATTATTTCTCACGGGTATATGGCCATATGTTGTACATAGACTGTCGCATCTTCAAGTTTGGTAACTCATATTCAAGATATTCGCGCTTATTTCAATAAAACTACTTCACAGTCATCTTTAATCGTTCAGAATTATGAGGGCAAAAACCTGGCTGTAGTGATGATAGATAGTGATAATAGAGATTATTAGGTCATCCCATTCAAAAGTGCCGTGACATATAGAGTGGCAGAAAAGCAAAGGGGATAGGGAAGCGGGCTACTATACCATTTGGAGGCTAGTACCTTTAGCTGTGTATCTGTGAAATTTGGCGAACCTACCCACAGAAGAAGTTCTCGAGAAATTGAAAAGAAGCCTGAGTGGTGAAAATCAGCGCCGGATTTTCAAATCAGGCGTCATGAGAGGAAAGTGCGCTGCTCAAATTTGACCTGGCGCCGGACCAGTAGTTGTGTGTAATGGTGTTCCTCAAAATACATGGGAAATTTGGTCTGGAGGAGCCGCCGTACAAGGGAAGAAAGAAAAAATTTGTTGGCGGTGATGGTCGGCATAATGTTATCTGACAAGCAAAAAAGTGTTTTGATGAGTCAAGCGTGAATGTCTGATTTTAGAGAGCTGGACCTTTGTCGAGCTTCCCGCGAGTCTGACATCCCAGCTGCAACTGCTGCCCGAGTTATGTCCGATAAACTGAGGATGGTCAAGAGGGTGTGCGCATGGTACCTAATTTTTGTAGAAGCACGAGCGCAGTACCTATTCTGTACCTCTAGCAGTGATGTTCTCAGAAGAGATGTCATTCATGACTGTGAAAACGCACCACGGCCCTAGATGAGATATATGGTGGTCTTGGACCGAGCAGAAATCACAAGCGTCAATTTGTAGCGAATGCAGCTGAGAAGCCGCCCGAGTTTACAAAGGGTTACGCGGGCCGCAACTGGGACTGATTATCATGGCAAAGGATTCACATTAGAGCTTTCAGGGGCTCTATACGAGATAAATAGTCGCTGTAAGTGTACGTGCTGTAATGTTGGGCCTGATCTGGGAATCAGATCGACAAATGGTGGAACACCAACTACAGAGCAGGGCACTATTGCACATTTTAGTGCGCAAATCAGTGTATTATAGGGCAGTGCTCGGACACAAGGAATACTAAGACCTGGGGTTTAGTCGCCCCATTCGCCCCACATCAAGCCGAGCTTCCAATTGTTCTCTTCGTCAGTCGATAGTACTCTCCGAATGAAATCACATTGTACTGCGGGCCATAACTGACTCCACGCTCAGGTGTTGTAAAGGTGTACTTCTCGTGAGGCTTCTTCGTGGCAAGAGATGTAATTTATATCGGTTTCGACAAGGCCCGAGCATCATTGCTTATTAAGTGCTGACGTCGTCGTGGAGCTACGAGTATGTTTTGACGCGTCCCGTCCCCACTTCAGAGCTTGCGGTGACCTGTCTCAGGTTCCTCGTCAGGTGTTATCACAAGAAACAGTGGATAGATTTTTTTATCAAATCGTGAGTGTGGCAAATCGGAATCTCTCACTGTTCGTTTATCTTCTTGATGAGAATGCGCTTATCGCTCGGTGCTCATGTGGATAGATACGATCTCGCCGTTGTGATTGTGCCACAACGATGGGTGGCTGTCTCTCCTTTGAGCTTATGCTCCTAGGATCATAGTGCGGTGTTAGTTTTTAGCTGGCAGCTGCCGGAAATTGACATTAGCACTTTATTGGATCGGCCTAAGTAATGGTGTTTTTCCTGATACAGAATATTGCGCTAAGATAAAGTTTTTGCACTGATTTTCATATCGTGTTGCAGAGAATTTCTTGCCTCATCCGATAGTCCTTCTACTTTCCTTGGAATCTCTCTTTTCACTGACATTTAAGTGCTCAAACTGGACTGTGAGGTCGACGGTCTGAGAGGTTAGGGAATTAACTCATTCAAAGAGATCTGGCCAAAGAGTAGCAATCCGTTAGAGGTACAGAAATGCTTTCTTTTCGTTATCATCTGCCTTATTCAGTTGATTTTAGACGTTCGAAATGTGGTGGATGGGTTTTGCAGGCAGGAGCCCCTCCCTTCCCCAAGAGGATGCTATGCGCTGACATTTGAGAGGCTCCCGAATTCTTTTCTCCTTATCCGGGTTGAACGTTTGGCTGTCAAAGACAGATCTATCTGATATTATATCCAAGTTTCGGGTTCATCGTAGTCGGAAGCCGAGTAAAGTGCAAGGTTGTTGTAAAAACTTACTTTTAAGTCGACCCACTTCCTTTGAATGGATTAGAAAATCGGCAGAAACCAAAAAAGGGTAGGAAGGCAGATATACTATCTTATAGAGTGGAAAATTGTCTATCGAATAGCATAGAACACATTGGGAATGATTCCCACTTTTTATATACAAAATTGCGTAAGGAAAAACGCATCACTCATGAGGCCAACTAATTTACAAGGATGGGCACAGGGTTATTTTGAATAAGTGGTAGCAAAAAGCAACAGAACAACGAGAGAAATGAAATTCAGAGTGTTTTATTTAAAATTGACTTTGAGGTACACGAGTCGGGTCGCTATCATTCTGTTAGATGGCTGACCGAGAAAGCGCACCGAGCGGCATAAACGACAAGCCTTATTGATTCGAAGCTATATTCTGTCATGAAGCCCCATTTTTACGCGCCTTGAACGATTTTTTTCGGGTAATTCTTTTTATCGAAATAGTGCAAGCTAGTAGCCTACGGATCACTGTTGAACGCCACAGCTATAATATTAGGGTGTCCTAGTTTTGGAGAATTTCAACCAGTTCATTTAATTGTCTTTATCAAAACAGTAGATTAGTAGTCTCATGGTTATCAATGCATATGTTAGTGCGCATGCGCATGTCATTACTTTGGGCGGATGCTTGCGTGGGAGGTAACCTAAGGCGGAGTATGAGAATGAGGGGGCGTATGGAACATCTATAGCTAACTTTCATTCACGGAGACGTTGGATGGCCTAGTATAGATGATTTTGAAGGCGCATTTTATCGGCATCGGCGGCGGTTCTGCATTACCCGATTTTACGATAGAGAGCCAAGAGGTGAAGATGAAAGTATAAGAGGCGTTGGGTATCGTGCGCGCTCGTGGATTTTCCAGGTAATGTCAAATCATACCAACAATGGAGAACCAGAATTAGTGCTGATCTACAGAAATTTCTCTTCTTATGGGTACCTGATCTAAGGACTTCTGTTGGAGGCATTCGCTTGCTACACTTTCCAACCTGAAAGTGTGAAATTTTCAAAACGTTCGCGGAGCTTAATTTTATTCGCCTATTTTATTATTTCCTTCATTCTATCTCGGCGGCAGCCTTTGACATGGTAATCGTGTCATACAGCAGCAAATGTAATTAATGAATGACAATACTGAGTTTGGTTTGCCAATTAAATTATCCGCGATTAAATTAATGCTCAAAGACGCTGAACACATGCTAGTAGTACTTCGACTAGAGAAGCATTAAAAAGAAACTAAACGTTAACAAACGTATAGTGAGTATTGTAAATAAGTGATGTCCAAAAAGACCCTTTGTTCCGGGTTGGAGGGTCGTTACGATTGATTCTAAACGTTGAAAGCGAAACGTTTCAGAATTGAGCAGTGGGTCGAGCCGGAGAATGACAGGCCTATTTCAGGCATGCTATTATGTACTGTATGTAGTGCTGAGCTCGACGGCGATGTCGAATGCTTCATCTTGCGGTGACCGTGAGTGACTGCTCGTGCTCGTAGGGAAGCATTCAGGAACATTACAGAAAGGGGCTTTCATCTGGATTGCCTCCATGGGCACAGTAACTCTGATGATCTACTTCGTGAGAAATCTACTGCTGTATTGACTGAAAGACTTCAGTGGGTAAAGAGATTCAAGTAAAGAACGTGTTTCAAGTCAGGCAAAAGAGCCGAGTGAGACCCTCACATTTTTTGATACAAGCATTTTGCATACTTACGATTATCCCGCGGCGCAGTAAGGAACGGTCTGACAGGTGCACGAAAGCGTGAAGGTCAGCGTGGCGCATTCGTGGCGAAGGCTTGGTGGGATGATGTCAAAGAATGTTACCACACTGAAAGTACAGTAAAAAGTGGCCAGCTTGACAGAAACAGCAGCTAGCTGGAAAAGCCGGGTAGAATTCAAATGGACCAGATGAAGTTAAGCGATTCGCGTACGTTTTACATCCGTGTTGCAATTCTTATTACCGTATAGTATAACGACTTCCATTTATTCCCTATTCTCTCTTAATTCCTTCATCTATTCTCGGCCGCACCTTTGACATGGTATACGTGCTCATAATAGAAGCAAATGTAAATTAATGATGACAATTCCCTGCGCCAAAGGTTTGCAATTACAATTATCCCGATTAAATTAATGCTCAAAAGATCGCTGAAACACATGCTTATATAAGGGATGCTCTATAATGCGGAAACATCTTTTGCTACCTTTTTCACGCTTTTTCCGCGCAATGCCCTTTTTGCTTTTGTGCTGAACCATTTTTTTCAAATAGACTTCAAAAGCGCGGCGCATAACGCAGAGGGAATGAAGAGACCCAGCCCTCAGTCAAAGAAGTCTTGTATCTGTACTTCTTCCATTGTGCTCAGCTAAGCGATCCATCCTGAAAATGATTTACCTCGCACAAGTTGCAGAAGGAGTGTGTGAAAGTAAAAGCTAGAAATTTTTTTCTGTGCCTGTAGTGCACCGTTACACCTAATTGACGGGATAAGGATACTCTAGACAATGACAAATCACTCCTCTATATCGAGGTAGCCTCCAAACCAAATTGCGAGGAATCCGTACCTGTCAAAGACAAACTGTACACTTGGCTTCGAGGACTGTGCTTGCTATGTGTGAGGCAAATGGCTTCGCAGCTACAGTGCTAAAAAGTAC